CAACAGACTCTTTAAAAAAGTTGAAGCAGTAATAAAATAACAATAATTACAAATAAAGCAAATAGAGAGATATAGGAATCTGGACTGAACAATTAATTGGTTGGGTTCAGTTTTGTTTAGAGATCATTTTAAAAGACCATAGGCTTGATTAGCAGTGCAAATTAACTTATTGAATATTCAGACTTTTATTATGCTCTAATTACATCTTACATAAATCTCATCTTTAAATCTGGCTGTAAGTTCTCAAAGGCAGATACCATTTCCTACCTTTCTGGTAGTCTCAATATCTTTTAGCATGTTAACGAGAGTATTAGGAATTCAGTAAATTTTACATAAATATTTACAAAAATACACTGAATGAATTATTTATTTTATTAAAGCAAAATGCTAAAAAAAAAAAAAACCCAACAAAGTGCGTTGGCTTCATTTATTAGTTAATAAAACATTAATTAATTGGGTTCAGCTCAGTTGGAGTTTAGTGATTTGCTTAATTTAGGATGAAGTTTTAAAAAATTTATTGGAAAAAATTCAAATATATACAAAGTAAATAATAGTATAAGGGTTTATGTTTTCAAAAAATTTTAAGTTTTTGAAAATTTATTTTATGAGTTAGAGAAAGTTTAAAATTGTTACTATAAAATGACACTATAATTTACATTCTTGTTTTTTTTAATTGTTACTGGAAATTGCAGTTGAGTCATGGCTCATTTTATTTATGCTCAAACCTATGGTGAACAGTTATATTAACTTACTTTTAAAAGTTTTTATTATGGAAAATTTCAAACATGCAAAAGTGAAGGAAAATAGTATAATGAACCCTCATGTATTCCCATCATTGAGCTTCAGGTATTATCAACACATGGACAATCTTGTTTCATCTACACCCCTACCAACTTCTCTCCACCTTATATCATGTCAATGCCAGTCTTAGGCATTATATCATTTCATTTACAAATACTACAGTATGCATCTCTAAATTTACTTATCATCATTACACATAAAAGTTAATAGAAATTCCTTAAGATCATCAAATATTCAATTGGTGTTCAATTTCTCCAATTAGTTCATTTTAAAAAAATTGCTTTGTTTGAGTTAGATTTCAAGTGAAGTCCACACATTGTACTTAAATTGGTATATTTCCTAAATCAATTGATCCCTCCCTCTTTTTTATTTGTTATGCTTTAGTTTAGATTCTTTAATAGAATTTCTATCTTAAAGGTGGTTAGAAACCTTGGAAAGTTACTCAATCCATTCTCTCACTTTTACGGCAAGCAAGACCACACCTAAGCTGTCTCAGACAGCGAAGTGTCAGACTTTGATGAAATCAGGTCTCTTGGGGTCTCTTTACATCAAAATATCTGAGACTATGGAGTTACTTTGTTGAAGGGAGCTATCTAAGTGAATTTAATGTGCACGATAGACTAAACTGCTGGAAAGACCTCTTAACTGCCTTCAACTCTATTAACTAGGATTCACTTTTGCAACTAAGCTCACAAGAGGTTTTCTTTGTTAGTTACGAGAGGTTACTATGAAGTGATAAAGAACTCTTCTTAATGGAAGAATTTGTCTAGCAATGATGTGTCCCACCTATGGGTCTCTGAAATTTCTACCTTAGACAGAATTCAGTTCAATGGTGTTTATATGCTACTTTATATTATCAAAGAGTAATTGATGTTTTCCTTAGAATCCTGGCCAAATTCCAACTCCGATAAATACATTCTACTTCCCAAAATTTCCCCTGCAATTTCAAATGGATTTCATATCCTTAATTACCTGTCCCAACCTGTTGCTTAGTGCTGAAGTTCACCTATTAAGCAGCTGTTGCTTTTGGCCCTAGAGGCTTATACCTTTTGGGATTTAAAAAGGGGATCTGGTAAACTTGGTAAATGAGTATGTGTATATGTGAGTACGAATGACTTTGAGGGTTCTAAAACTTAAACTTATCCTCTAATATGAAAATTTTAGGGACAGAGAGAGAAACATACAACCATTCCAGAGCTATGGGGCCTTTCATTTGCTCAGAAAACTTTTATTAAGAAGTTTGTATGTGAGATGTTGTTCTACGCATTGTGGGGATACAAAGATGAAGTAAATAATTATTCTTGGCTTAAAAGAATATACAGTCTAGTAGAGTGGATATTTTCATAATATTAGGCAGTGCTAATTACCCTTTTTAAAAAGTCTTCCTTATAGTGAATAAAAACTTAAGTAAATTTCATATCTCTTTAATCAAGTTTTTCTCACCTGTAAAATGGAGATAAATATCTACCTCAGAGTGTTTTGTGAAAATTTAATGATGTAAAGTACTGAATATATTGCCTGGCATATAGTAAGAGCTTAATGAACATTAGTTATTGTAGATTTCTAAATGCGCCACTTGGGTCAACTGCTAGGGAAATTCTAATGCCACTGAAGACTGTATTGGGTTGTTTGTATAGATTCAGATATCTTGACTCTGTAGGTTACAGAACCGTGGATGGACAGCTCATTCATCCCATGAACACCAAGATTATAGGAGAATTCCACACCCAAGTGCCTAGCAAGTTCTAAATCTTTAATTTACTAGTTCTCTGGTGAAGATCATAAAAGGAGGAGAAGGAATTAGGATTCTTCTGTTCTTACCCCATTATCCAACTTAAAATCCTGAGTGGTGTTAGTGACTGAGATTTGGAAATTCAGACCTTTAAAGCTGTTACAGCAGGAGAAAATAAAAACTTTACTGTTTGACATTGGCACATATTCCAAAGTCCCTCCCTATTTAACTAGCTTTAAGCTTTCATAGGAGACATAAGATACTTAAGGGAAAAAGTATTGCCACAAGGCTAATGATGACAACAGCTGCCAGCACAACTTCCATCAAAAACAAGTGAAGACTTGAAGCACATCTGAGCTCCAGTTTGTTTCAGAAGCATCACTGTGACATGCCTGTGCCGGCAGAGGCTCAGAATGCATTCCTTAACACTAGGACTCTAAGAAGTGCTGGATGTCAGAAGCCCAGTGTTAATGAGAGAGCAGTTGTGAAGCTTCCTTCAGATGGTGTTCTTTCATTGTGGGTGTGCTGGCTCTGAAAGTTTGGTGCAGGAAGCCACAAGAAAGAATAGGCTGATTCCTTTCCTTCATCAGGGGTTATAGTCCAGCTAATTCATTTATTTATACCTTTATCTTTCAGACATTTATTGAATGCCCACTTTATATATGTTTGTGATTAAAGAAAGTAAAATAGTGTATTTAGGTCTGGCAGTAAATTATAAACTTCACATCCTAGTCTTTGCGTATTTTGGAGAAAATCCACTGGGATACTTTATATGGAATCAAAACAACAGATATATGTTATATGAACTTGATTCTTTCATATTGAGAATTTTATGTGCAGAATACCATTCTAAGTACTTAGGAAATCCTAAAAATAAAATTATTGGACACTAATAACTAGCTTGGTATGAGAGCAGATGTCTTCGACAGCTTTGCAAGGAGAAATGTGTGCATTTTTTTTCTAGAAAACACTCTGCTTATAAACAGGTGGCCTCTTTACTAAGTCTTAGATTCCAACATGTGTATCAGGTAGCTAGCTCATTCTAAAAACCCTAAATTGGTAAGTTGCAATAACTTTCATAGTAATTTGTGGATTTTCTATATACATTCTTGCTGTGTTCACTTTCTTGCCTTCAATTTGAGGAACTGGTGGAAGCTCATCTTCCCCCTTTCAGGATTTTTTTTGTTTGCAGTTCTGTAAGTATCTATTGGGATAAACAGTGTATATTTGGAATTTCCATTCAAACTGTATTTATCTTTTACACGTGGAGTGAGAGAGAGCCTTGGGAAAAGTTTGTGTAATTTTTTTTTTTTAAATCTGTGCTATACATCAAAGTTTTGTTAGATAAGGAATACTTTACATAGTAAAAATGTGCTATATTCCTAGCATTTAAAAGTCTAAAAGCAGAGTTCATTAAACTATTGTCATCAGGTTAATATGCTAAAACAGAATCATAAATTTGTTCTTTGTTATCTTAAAAGCAAATTATATTCATTTGCAGCTACTCTTCTTTTCCTACTACAATCCTCAAGATAGTAGGTAAATTTTATGCAACTCTTCCTCCTCACTTTTAGCCACTTCTATTATGCTTTGAGATATACAAAGTCTACTCCTCTCGGCTCTTTCTGCATGGTGTATCTTTACTTGTCTTCTTTAATGTCCAGACTTTAAATCCAAATTCCTTCCATTTTTGGCAGTTCCATTTGCCAGACATTATATTTAGTCCTATAGCATATATCAGCAAAGATGTAATTTCTGCTTTCAAAGAGTTAGCACTCTATTTAGGTATACAAGACATATCTCTTTTGGAAGAAATAGCTCTTGCCTATATGTATTCCTTTATGGAATTTTTATTTTATGAAAAGTCACGGAGGTCTTAAGATTAAAAATGTATAAAGAGCATTGAAAAACTAGGCACATAAAGAAAAAAACTCTTTAAAAAAAGGATTTAGCATTGTGGAACAATTCAGAACACTAGATGGTGGCACAAACTTTAAAAATAGTTCTCTATTTGTGTCACTGACCACTTAATTGGCTAGTGTTTGGGTATGTTGAGACTTTTTATGTTGTTGTTAGTTGCTTTAAATGGCATAATGCAGAAATATAAAAATCAAATAAGCAATGTAATAATCTATTATTTTCTAATCCTAAATATAAATTTTGTTTTTATATAATTGAATGTATTGTAGTCTTTCTATGTTACTAACATAGAAAATAGCAGAGGAAACTAGAGACAACATTGGTGAAATATTTTTGGAAATTATCAAAGAGAATGCCTCTGATGTCTGAAAAAAAATACCTCATGTGGGTCAATGGATAACAAACTTCACATGTAGTTGAACTAGGTTAAATATAGTTAGGAAAATGGAGAAACCAAATATCAGTTTAATGGAGGCAACACTGCAATTTTAATCCTTTCAAAGTAAAGGCATAATTTTATGAATGTTTATTAATTTTCTGGTTCCAGGTAAGATGGAGGAAGCACATTTCATCTTGTCTCTCCCACTGAATATAGCTATAAAACCTGGACAAAATACATGGAGCAGATATTTCAGGACTCTGAACAGGAAATGGTATTAAGCAGATGACAGAAGAAAAGGAGTTAAAACACCACCAAATAGGGTGAGATTACCATTTTTTATCCTCTGGTAACTTCCAGTTTGAACTTAAGGTAGCACCAAATCAAGAAGCAGGTATAGGCATGGACATAGCTCCAGGAGAAAACCTCTAGTTCTAGCTGGAGGAACAGGAAGGAGATCAGCTAACACTTAGAGAAAAGTGGTGGAAATTCTACTCTCCTCCCTTTCCTCTTTTGAATCTCTTTTCCATTCTCTTGTGCTCTAGTTCTTAGGCAATCACACTGTGGCAGTAGCAGTAGCAGCGAGACCAGAAACAGTTGGGGCCCTCAGCACCTAGAACTGAGAGAGTGGAACATTTCTCTTTGATTGAAGCAGCTGTAGTCCCAAAAGGATGAATCCCTGTTGCTTTTTTTTTTTCTCTCTCTGTTATCCTGCTGCTCAGCCCCAGAGAGGGGCCATTCTCAGGAAAGGTAAAGAAAAGTCTAGCTTTCTTATCAGAAAATTGAAAAGGGGGCCTTAGGATACCAAGAAATACCAGGGAGATCATGGAGAAAGTGGGAACCTGGGAAGAAAACCCACAAAGCTATCTATGAACTCCTGGGCTCATCCTTGTGCTATGCATGCATAGATCTGATCCTAAACAGAATAGCAAAGACTTTGAGAACTGAACTAAAGCACAGACCACAACCCATGTGTTAGACTTGTCATTAGGTGGCACACACATAGAACAGAATTGAATACCAGGAAGATCTCAACTTAAGAATTGAGAGATGCTAATGTGTCACAGCAGCTGGAATTAGCTGACAAAATATACTCAAAGAAGTAAAAGCATGCACTTCTTTTTTAAAAAATTTATTTTATTATAGTATGAATATTTAACATGAGATATACCCTCAAGAAAATTTTAAAGTGCACAATACCTTATTGTTGACCATAGGTACAATGTTGTACAGCAGGTCTCTAGAGCTTATTTATTCTGCTAAACTGATGTTTTATGGCTGTTGATTAGTAACTCCCCATTTCCCCCTGTGCCAAGCTCTTGGAAATTGCCATTCTATTCTTAGATTCTTTGAATTTGACTGTGAATTCCCATGAATTCATATAAGTGGAAATCTATGCTGAGACCCATCACAATTAAAACTGTTGAAAACTAAAGACAAATAAAATATTTCGAAAGCAGCAAGAGAAAAATTATGTATTATTCAAATGACTACAATTTTCTCATTAGAAATTGTATAGGCAAGAACAAAATGGAACATTTTGAAAGCACTGAAAGAAAAGAATTGTCAACCCACAGTTCAATATCTAGTGAAAACATTCTTTAGGAATGAATGTGAAATAAAGACATTCTCAACTGAAGGAAAACTAATAGAATTTATCACCAATAGATCGGTTTTAAAAAAAATTACTAATTCAAGTTCTTGAGACAGAAAGGAAATAAAACCAGAAAGAAATTTGGAGCATCGAGAATGAAGGTAGAGCAATATAAATGGCAAATATCTAAGTACATATAATAGACATATATTTGATAATTAAAAGCAAAAACTATAATACTATCTGATAGGGTTTTTGATGTTGTAAATCTTCTATGCACCACTTCTCCCTTTTGTACCAACTAAAGATCTTTACTTTCTTCAAAGAGTTTCCCTTTTTCCTTTCTGTATGTTCCTGGTAGGGCTGCCAATTCAAGACACCTTCCTTCCTAGGTACTAGGATAGACCAGTGGTATGTGCTAGGCTGACTGGATTCTCTTTGCCAGGTATCTGAATCTAGAGCAGAGGTTCCCAAGGGCAGAAAATCAATGGGTGCCATGTTAGTGGTAGATACCAGGGAGAAATTCCATAAGTTCTCACTATTGACAATCTAAGTCTTCCTAGCTCTCTGCCCTTTCTGAGAAACGATTGTCCACCTCTCTCTTCAATTCAGTGAACTCACCAGTCTCCTAATAATATCATGACCTTTAAAATCAGTTTCTGTGCATATATAACCAAAGACACCTAAATAACACCACCCCCTCCACCCTTGCCCCACCCCTGCCAGAGTAGAGAAGAACTTGTATTTTTTAAAGAGAACTCTAGAAGGCAAGAAATTTATTCATTTAAATAAATGAGATTCTTACACTGAAATATCAAGAGTGAAGAAGAGATAAAAGTAGAAATTTGGGCTGAGGGGTAATGTATGTAGATGTAATATATAAGACAATTACAATATAAAATAGGGAGGGTAAAGGGATCTACAGTGTGGAAAAGTTGCTAAGACAATTCAATGGAGGAAGGATCATCTGTTCAACAAATGGTGTTGGAACAATTGGATATAGACATGCAAAAAAAAAATTAACCTCTCCTAAACTTCACACCTTATACAAAAATAAAATGGATCATAGCTTTAAGTATAAAATGTAAAGCCACAAAACTTTTAGATAAAAATATAGAAAAGAATATTTACAACCTGAAGTTAGGCAAAGAGTTCTCAGATATAACATTGAAAGCATAATCTATAAAATAAACAACTGATAAAATGGACTTCATCAAAATTCAAAACTGTTGCGAAAGACTGTTAAAAGAATGAAAAGATAAGATATTGACATTATTCAAAATTTGCTGATCTGCTTATAGGTACGCATTTCTTTTTTCCTTTTTATTTCTTGTGACCTCAGGACCCATCTTAACTCACCTCCTGAGCAACCATTTCTAGTTTTTTTTCTTGGCAGTATATAGGTAGACCCCCCAAGGGTTCTCTGTCACTCAGACTTGCCTTGGGCCATGAGAAATATTTTCCTTTGACTCACAGTTCATGAGAGTGCAGCTAATTTACTTTTTTCATTTGAGTACCTCAGTCCTTCCATCTTAAATAGTTGCCCAATAACTAGAATGAGAATACTACCAACCAGTTAGCTGATATCTAGAAATTGAAAATAAAATTTTATTTTTGTCATGTGTGTAATGTATTTATGGATTATTTGTGGCAAATACTGACTCTCAGGTTTGCTATACCCTAGTTTGCTTGTGGCCTGCCTCTTGCAGGCATGTTCCAAATAAGGAAAATAATCCTTAAAATTAATCTAAGCAAAAGCATAGGAACATGTCACTGTTGCTGTTGAGAATTCCTTACCTGAAAGATTCCAAATAACTCTGAATTTTTGTTTCTCTACTATTCGGTTATCCCTGCAAAGTTTCCTCTCTACAAGGAAATTAAAAGGTAATATGAGTTAATGTGACACTCAAGCAGGAATTTGGCTCTGTGCAGGGGGCACAAAGGACTTACAGGGAGACATTGTCCGAGTGAGGGCCCAAACGAGACTCGCTCTGTGCAGAAGTGCCCACGGTATCCATTGTTCCTCTGTTGAACTCTCCTTTCTCCCAGTGCTTGAACTCAGCGCCCCCATATCTCATGAGGTCATTGAACTGGATAACAGAGGTCGCTCCGCCCAGAGGATTCCATGAAACCCGGCCTCCCCCAACTCGCGGCCCCACCCAAGCCACATCCAGGTATAGCCTCAGTGAGTCAGGTGCTCCTTGCTAAGCAGCACCTAGACTTACATTGGAGGCAGCCGGCCTCAGTTTCTGGTGTGGCCCTTTGAAGCAACTGTAAGCACAGCATCTGTGGATTGCTTGCTGAATCTTAACAGGTGGCCCTGGAGAAGCATAGGCTTGGGCTAAATTTGGCCTGCAACTGAGCCCCTCTCAGGACTGTGCCACTAGAAACCTACTTCACAAATCCACACTAATAAGACCAAGAAACTTAGAGCTTTGTTTAGTACATAGAAACAGACAGGGAAAGACAGCCAAAATGGGAAGACAAAGAAACAGAAGCCATATGAGAGAACAGAACAGAGATCCAGAAATAACTAAGTCAAATAATCAAACAGATGCAGAGTTCAAAACTGGATATAAAGAAGCTCAATGAACTTTTGGGAAGTGTACAGAACTTTAACAAAGAGATAAAAAAAGAAACTTAAAAATGGAAACAGAAATTATAAAAGGGAACCAATCAGAAATGAAGAACACATTATCTGAAATAAGAAGTATATTAAAAGGAATAAACAAAGTGAATAAAGAAGGGGATCAAATGCCCTATCTAGAGCACAGGAAAGCCAAGAACACTCAATCAGAATGGCAAGAAAAAAGAAGCCAAGACTATAAAAATAATTTAAGGAGTCTATGGGACACTATTAAAGGTCAAAAATATCCTTCTTATTGGCGTACCGGAAGGAAAGCAAGATGTTTAACAGTTGTTTGAAGAAATAATGATGAAAAATTTCCCTAACCTGGTGAAGGAAATAGACATACCACCCTAGGAAGCTCAGAGAATCCCAAAAAGCAGGAACCCTAAGAGTTCCACGCCAAGGCACATCATAATTAAAACACCAAAGTTTAAATACAAAGAGAGAATCTTAAAAGCAGCAAGAGAAAAGCAGATAGTTACCTACAAGGGAGCACCCACAAGACTGGCAGCTGATTTCTCAAAAGAAACTATGCAGGACAGAAGAGCTTGGCAAAAAATATTTGACAGGATGAAGCCCCAGGATCTACAACCAAGCATACTTTATTCAGTAAAACTATCATTTAGAGTTGAAGGACAGATAAAGAGCCTCCCAGACAAAAATAAGCTAAAGGAATTTATCACCACCAAACCAGTATTACAGGAAATGTTGAAGGGATTTCTTTAAGAAGAAAAAACATGTATCAAAAATAGGAATAAAGAATGGTAACAACTACATTCCTATCAATAAGTACCTTAAATGGAAAAGAATTAAGTGCTCCAACTAAAAGTTAGAGTGGATGAATGGATAAGAAAACAAGACCCTTACATATGCTGCCTACAAGAGACTCACTTTAGATTAAAAGACACACATCCAGACTAAAAGGAAGAAGATGGAAAAAGATATTGCCTTGATGGACCTAGAAGGTATTTAAGTCAGACAGAGAAAGGTAAATACCATATGATTTCACTTATATGTGGAATCTGAGGAATAAAAGGAACAAACTAATCAGAAATAGACTCACAAATGTAGTGGACAATTTGGTGATGGACAGAAGGGAG